CTCCACCCCTATTTCTTTTCCTGTCTAGCTCCACCCCTGTGTTGCTCTCCAACACTCTACTCCCTGCCCAGCTCCACCCCTCTTACTCTCTCTCTCTAGTTCCTCTGTCTAGACCCCTGACTAGACCCACCTCTGTTTCTCCTCCACTCTAGTTCCACCCCTATTTCTCTTCCTGTCTAGCTCCACCCCTGTGTTGCTCTCCAACACTCTACTCCCTGCCCAGCTCCACCCCTCTTACTCTCTCTCTCTAGTTCCTCTGTCTAGACCCCTGACTAGACCCACCTCTGTTTCTCCTCCACTCTAGTTCCACCTTTATTTCTCTCCCTGTCTAGCTCCACCTTGGTTCTCTTTCTCTCTAGACCCACCCCTTTCTGTTTCTCTCAATCTCTTCTGCCCCCATCTGTTTTTCTCCATCATGACCCATCACTTCCTGCTCCTCTCCCTGTCTAGACCCACCCATTTCTCTCCCTCTCTGGCTCCACCTTTCTGTTCCAATCTGTCTAGCTCCACTCCTGTGTTTCTCTCCCTGTCCAGCTCCACCCCTCTCTACACTACACATTCATTTATTCGCAAATCTGCTGCCTTGACAATATGCGCCCACAAGCTGTATGAAAGGCTAAGGCTCTTGGGAGGTGTAGTCTTGGGGGGGGGTGCCTGCCTCAATAGGAAATGACCTTCCGGCAGCTGCCCCAGGGGTAATAAAAATCACCATTGGTAAATGGTAAAAGAAAAATAATGCTAAGACATGATAGAGAGGGTTTGGGGAGGTATCTTTGATTTTCTATGAGCCGTGATAACCAGTCACTGCATACAGCATGAAAGCGCCCCGATGCAGAGACAATATATTCCCATTCATGTTCTGGGCTGATATTCATTTTTACTCAGCAGATAAATAAACATTGTGCTTGGCTAGAAGCCATTGTGATATTGAGTCAGCATAATGACACTGGTGCTTCCTGCGCATCCTGATAAAGGGCACTTGTGAGAAGTGGAAGCTGCCAAATTGCTTTTAAATGACATATATGATTCACCTTCTTTTCCCTCCAATGCTGATCTGTTCAGCTGCTGAAAGCGGAGAGAACTGCCCAATAAAATGCATGGGAAAGCACTGAGGCTTGAGGACGGTCCTACACACAAGAAACGGGACTACATTTTGATGGGGACACAGAGAAAGGAATCTATCAAAACCCGGAGCAGTTGCATTTGGCAACCAATCAGCTTCTCTCTTCAGTTTGGTCACTTAAGATTTGAAAATGAAAGTTGGATGCTGATTGGTTGCCGTGCACAGCTGCTCCAGTTTTGATAAATTGCCCCCAGAGTCTTGAGAACCCCGTGGAAGCTCAGTTTTCTCTTGGCACCCAAAAGAAATAGCAGAGGATCACTGTACCCCCCCACCCCCTCCCGTTAGTGAAATTTGGAGCTCTACAGTCATCTAAGAATTCCTTCTGCTGATTGGCCAGCTCTACATTTGCCTCAAACTGCTGCTTACACACACATACAGCAATTCTTCTTTGCAGCCGGTGAAGATGACAGACAACCCCCTAAAGATTTTCAGCACCCTAACTTTCACATTAACTTTTCTTTCTTCTTTATGCAATGCACAGTTTGTGCTTTAAGGCCAAACCCACCCCATGCAGATATTTCCAATGGGGGCTGCAAGGCCAGGGCTACACTGATTATTAAAAGGTCTTTGCTGCCACGGTATGTATCTCCTTGTTGTCCATCACCAAGACATTTATGGAAAGACATTTAAATCACCAGCGTAGCCCCAGAACAGAGCAAAGTAGACACCAGCCAGTGACCAAACAGCAGTGGGGACATAGGCGTTTCAGTCCTACAGAATCCTAAACTAGCCCCCAAAAAATATAGACTGTAATGCTCCTTCAAATCACGCTGGTGGTGGTGGTGGTGGGGGGTTTGTCTAATACAGAGCAATACTTGCCTTAATCTACTCATAGCATCATGCCTGTGGCTGTCAGTCTTGCAATGCCATTTATGGGACTTGAACCTCCACAATGGCTGGAGTGCCAAGGCTGCCCACCCCCGCTTTCATGGAAATGTAGACCAGGGTGGAGCAAGTCCCCATGACGTCAATGCTCCTTAAAGTTAGTCTCCAGCTGTATTTATTGAGGTTCTCGGTTGTCCTTATTGGAAATAGATCCTAAAATGAAATCCTGCTGCACCTGAACGCCTCATTAATCTGTCCACCCCTGATCGAAAACCAAAAATGGAATACAGGTGTAGGCAACCTCGACACTCCAGCCGTGGAGAAACTACAAGTCTCATGATACCTGTCTCTGGGATTCATGTCTGTGGCTGTCAAACTCTTGAAATGCCTCAGGGAAGTTATAGTTCTACAAAAAGCTGCAGTGCCAACATTGCTCACCCCTGATGTAATATATGGCAGTTTACCAATCAGATGTGGCGGCTGCATTTGTTTCTTTTTTCTAGGCCAAGAACATTTTTAGGAAGTAACAGGATTTTGTTCTTACCGTAAAATACTGTATCTAAGGACCCGGCCTTTCTGTCAGGATCAACATCGTCCATGTTTCTATATCGTCCATTGAGGGACACAGCTCTGAAGAATTCCAGGTAACAGCATAACCTTAGGTCTCAGAATTCTTCAGAGCCGAGTGTCCCTCAATGGACGATTGAGAAACCGAATCAAGTGTTGATCTTGCCAGAAAAGCCATGTCGTTGTCACTTCCTGTGAGCTGACCTGAAAGACTGTCATCTTCCGTTCATAAACTACCAATCAAACCATCCCCCTTGTAATGAAGATGAAAAGCAGCAGATACGTTTGAAGTCAGGCCTGGGTGATGACCATGAATTGCTGGACAGGGGCAGAAGTGTCTTTTTTGCAGGACTATCAGGTGAAAGAAAGAAAACTAAAAGAAAGCCACAACTGCTAGGGACCAGTAAGCAATACTAAGGGCTAGTAAGCAATACTAAAGCACAAGGGATGCACAGATACTAGAATCGGTGCCACTACTCAACACAACTACTCTTACTCGCCCAAATGCTCCGATGCCTAGCCCGATACTTGGGCTTTCAGTATCAGGAAGCCGGGCAGCGAGTCATTACTCAGCTTTTCTGATTGGCCAGGAAGCCAGCTTCTCGACCAATAAGGAAGCCAGGCAACGAGTTATTAAACGGTGCCCATCTTCCTGCTTTGCCAGAAAGCCAGCTCCATGTTACCTCGTCACCTGGTGAATAGCAAAAAACCGGTACCGGTGCATCCCTACTGAGGACTAGTAAGCAATACTGAGGACTAGTAAGCAATACTGAGGACTAGTAAGCAATACTGAGGACTAGTAAGCAATACTGAGGACTAGTAAGCAATACTGAGGACTAGTAAGCAATAATGAAGACTAGTAAGCAGTGTTAAATTTTTGCTTTTGGGTTTAGAATCATTTTTAACCCGCAGTACAGCAGCAGCTTGCACTTCAATCTCCTCCTCCAGTGCCGGAATGTAGACGGGCCCTCAACTTCACAGAGTATAGAGCCAGAGCGGCTGCTGGTCCTGCACTGCATGCGACTACACCGGCAAGGGGGACGTCCGTATCAACCGGTCACAGACTGGCATGACGAGAGGCTTTAGCAAAACCATTTTCAAAGCCAGAACCAATGAGGGAAGGGCGGTCCGCATTGCTCGGAATTGGATCCCCCCTGGACCAAAGCAGCATTATATTCTGTGTATGCCGCAGAGAGATTTTTTTTGGGCCAGCCTGGAGTCCAAATAAATATCAGTACTTGCACTCAATACCGAAAAAACAGTATCGGTGCATCCCTACTAAGGACTAGTAAGCAATACTAAGGACTAGTAAGCAATACTAAGGACTAGTAAGCAATACTAAGGACTAGTAAGCAATACTAAGGACTAGTAAGCAATACTAAAGACTAGTAAGCAATACTAAGGACTAGTAAGCAATACTAAGAACTAGTAAGCAATACTAAGGACTAGTAAGCAATACTAAGGACTAGTAAGCAATACTAAGGACTAGTAAGCAATACTAAGGACTAGTAAGCAATACTAAGGACTAGTAAGCAGTGTTACATTTTTGCTTTTGGGTTTAGAATCATTTTTAACCCGCAGTCCGGCAGCAGCTTGCACTTCAATCTCCTCCTCCAGTGCCGGAATGTGGTCGGGCCTTCAACTTTACAGAGCCAGACCAGCAGCATGCAACTGCGCCGGCAAGAGGAATGTCCGTATCAACCGGTCACAAACTGGCATGATGAGAGGCTTCAGCACACCGATTTTCATAGCCAGAACCAATAAGGGGAGGACGGTCCGCATTGCTCTGAGTTGGATACCCCCTGGACCAAATGAGCTTTAAATTCTGAATGCTACAGAAAGATTTTTTGGGCCAGCCCAGAGTCCAAACTTTCCACACATTCTAACCAAAAGGAGGAAAAAAAAAAAAAAAAAAAAACGAAAAAAAAAAACTCAATAAAAAAAACACACAACACGGGAGCCCAATTCACTCTTGAATTACAGAAGTTTTATTTAGAAATGGCTTAAAGTAGAAAAAACTGTTGAGAAAGTGAAAGGAAAAAAGTCAGACTTAAATTGGAGGGAAAAGAGAAAAAAAAAAAAAACACAACAGGAGATACAAGTCTTAAAAAAAGGCCACAAGAGATTCAGAAAGTATAGCACTGCAGTGTCTGTGACGGCTGGCTCAGTGAAGGGCTCGCACGTCTTAGCCGTGGGCCCTTCGTACGTTACATGCATAACCACCACCAAACCATCCGTTCCAGGCGTGAATAACCCAGTGATCTGTAGGATACAGCAGATACATAGAAATAAAAAAACACGTCGAGAAGATATTAAATAATATATGTTGGCAAAATAAAGTTTTACAAAATGAAAAAAAAAAAATTGGGGTGGAGAGGAAGGCTGCAGGACATCGGTTAAGGTCGCCGCGCCTCGGTAAAATTTCATATTGACGTAAAATTTGTTATAACTTCCATGATCCTTTTTTTGTTTTGTTTTTATCCTGGGAGGGGCTGAAGCCATTTTTGTCGGAGGCGAGAAGGTAAAGGCGATGGAGGTAGAGGCAGTCACGCCGACGCGACCCTTTCCCCCCCTCGGCACCTTACACCTTGAGCAGCACGTTGGGACCACTCTACATGCAAGCGTTAAAGAGAAAAAAAACATTTCCACAAGAGTAACCCCCAAAGCTCGCGTCGGGGAGAGCACCTACCTATGAGACACATACACTTACTAAGCCATATTACACTGCGAGAGCTTAGATATGAAAGCACATATAAACTCCTTAAGGCATTTTTGTCTGTCAACCATATTAGACCAAACAACAATTTTCCTTTTTGTTCAAACGTCACAACCCGACAACAAAGTCAACCGGTAAACTTTTCTCTTCGCAAATTCGAGTTTTAAAACATTCTTGCCTGCTAGCGACTGAAACCTTCAAGAGTCCTTACTGAACGTTCCGCGCGGGAACCTCAAAAATGAATCATACAAAAAAAAAAAAAGTGGGGGGGAACAGGGCAGTTTAATACTTTCTTGCTACAAAAAAAGGGACATCTCCAAGGTTTCGCCACCGTAAAAGAAGTGAAACTTTAGCAAAGCACACTTTCTGAAAAGTGAGGAGCTGAACCCCGGGCCTCCGAGAATAAAAAGGGAGATTTTTTTTGTTTTACGGTTAAGCACATTATGTGGACGAAAAAAAAAAAAATATGATTGCATGGGAAGAGGTAAAAGAACCACGTTAATATTCTTCCTGGTCCTCCGCTGGTGCACCTTCATCTGGAATAACAAAACCCTCCTGCAGGAGAGAAGAAACAAGAGGTCAGACTGATGAACAGAGAGATGGTTTAGAGACACGATTCAAGTGAAAAATAAAATCTATGTTGCACGCTCTCAAAACATATAAAAGGATATCTGACCCCAAAAACAATACCGCAGCTTGTCAGATGTGGTGACTGCATTCGTTTCCTTTATTTTAGGAACAATTTTCAGGAAGTACAGAAAATAGCAGCTCATCCTGCCTGAAATGCAGAGACCTTGTCACTGTCAAACAATGTTGTCTTCCTTCTGTACTAAACTGCTTAGGATTGTTGGGGCACCCAGGAACTTGTATTCAGCATTCTGTCAGACTTGCCATGTAAATGCCCTTTTTCCAGTGATGCGACCCCTTGTCACTGGGGCTTTCATCATTGCATGGTATTCTTCCTGGTATGGAGTCTACATCCACCTTAACTGGCAAGGCCAGGATGATGAAACTCCTATGCATGTGCACAGAAGTTATTTTGCCCCGTCACAGAATTGGGGACACAATGGTTATGTACACCGAGCTGTTTGTGGGGACAGAAGTTACTTTGCCCCATCACAGCATTGGGGAGACTTTTGGCATGTACACTGAGCTGTACATGAACGTACATAAAAACACAGCTACCGGTAGTAGGCAGGGAGAAGCATTTATGACAGTAGAGAGGAGTTTCTTCAGGTCATACAAAGTTGACCTGTCAGCATTTACTTAACTTACGGTAGTTTAGTTCCACTTTAATCCCATTACTCCTCATGTAAAAAAGGTAAGGAAAACATGTTTCAAGTCCTGTGTGAGTGACAACCATAGCAGAGGTGTTCTGTAGCCCTAACACACTTCCTGTCCTAGGTTGACAATACTGCTCCTTCAAAGATACAGTACAATGAGTGAGCGTTGTCACCTAGGACAGGAAGTGTGTTACTGATTGGATCACAAGACTTAAAAAAAATAAAAATAAAATAAGCCTGCAAAAAGAAAATTGAATGCAGCCACCACATTTACCCTTTTGTTTTTGGATTTAAAAACACTTTAATCCTGCCAGTGCATCCATTTAGTTTCTACTTTCTTTAAGAACCCTATTTAACCTGCCGTGAAGTGGCACCGTGGCATTGTCACCCTGGGCACAGAGTGGTGTTAAATGGGCATGTGGTTATAAATGGACTTTAAATGCTTCAAAGCTAAGAGTGTGTGGTGAAGAACATCTCATATCCAAAGGGCTACAGGAGGTTAGGCCATGACTAGAGAGCAGGCAGGAAGTAGTTGGATGACGCTGGGCCTATTAACACCAAAATAGGGAAGAGGGACAATGAAACTATGAAAAGGAGGACAAGCGAAGCTTCTGCAGTATCAGCTAAACTAAATCTAAGGATAGAGTCGGGTTTTAAATAATTTGAACATGTTAGAAGCAAAAACAAACCTCTTAATAGCACCCACTTCCCACAATCTTATACAATTGCCATCATCAGCAAGCTGGTAGATGCGGGGAGGGTCTTCCTTTATGCTAAAGGTGCCCATACGCTGCACGATTATCGTACGAGAACGGCGGGAAATCCCGCGATGGTACGATAATCGCAAAGTGTATGGAAGGCGTGCGACCGTTTCTACTGTACGGCCGCACGTCCTCCGTCGAACCAGCATGGTAGAAAACGCGGCCTGCTTGTTCGACAACTGCGTAACGGGCCGGTGTGCGCACGCGCACACTGCCCATTCGCAGTCATCGTAAGCCCGCCCCTCATTGCAGTCATCATAAGTACGATCTGCCTGTCCAAGATGGGCAGATCGTAAGTTTTTTTAAATTACTTTAGAACCCTCGCAAGACTTTTTGTCAGTTGCGAGGGTTGCACAGTGTATGGCCACCTTAAGATATAGGACTCGTCCAGCCGATGTGAGGATACTTACATCCGTGGCATACAGAATCTCTATGATCTTCTGAAGCACTGGGTCACTCTCCCCCTCGTTCTCTTGGCAAATTAGCTCGATATTCCTTAGTTTGCCGAAATAAAAGTCTCTTTCTTTTTCTAGATCTTCCACAGTGATCTTCAGAACATTTATCTGAAAAATGTACACGGCACAGGTTATATATGGAAAACATGAAGAAATCCAAATGGGAGAAACAAAAAATCATAAAACAAATGCAAAAAAGGTCTAATGGCCAGTAAACCATAATGATAATTTCAACTGGAACTTTAGTGAAAAAGTAAAATTTGCCATGGGGGGAAGGAATTTTTTTGTTGCATGCTTGATCTCTTCTGCAACAAAAGGATTCTAACCTTCCACCTTGCAAACCTCTTAAACTTTTGTGTACACTTACCACCCAATTGTCGGGATAAACAAGCTCATGTGCAGGAGTTGCATCAACCTGACCAGGCCATGCCAATCACCTATTGGAATGGAGTTGGACCTAAAAGTCATGCCTATAATCAGTCTTGCAAGGCCTCATGGGACTTGTAGTTTCAGCACAGCTGGAAGGCTGACGTTTGGCTAACCCCGTCCTATAGCAACAAGATACATTTCACTGACACGATATGTATGTTTATATATAAAGTCTATTTTTATACAGCTGTAGAATCAAGATTGCACTATACAGAGGGTACAGTTAAGATCAGGACTACCCCTCTATACTGCAATTGATTTTCTGTACACATTTTTTATTTCTACATCTGGGGGGGAATCCCTGCAGGGAGCGGTGTCAGTCTCTGCAGGGAGAAGCCATGAGCCAAGCAATAAGCAGTTTGTGATTGCTCCGTTCTCGAGCTTTAGAGCAGGCATGTGACACCTGCAGTGTCACACATCAGCTCCAAGTATTTTACTCTGCCAATAGTTGTCCTTTAAGTCTCCATCTGGCATCTTAGAGTGCATTATATAGAGCTTCAGTCTCTCTGTTATGGGTACCCAACAAGTGAAAAGGAAGGCAAAGATGTCCCCCTGATTCCAGCTTCCCCCGACACACACTAGACAACGAGAGCAAGGTTGCATTGCACAGACACACAGGACGAGTGACTGCTGCTCCACCAGAAGCTTGTGGAATAGATTTATATTGAATAAAGGTAAAATTGAAGATTTTGTCCTGAGCACAGCTGCAATGTCACCTGTACAGGCCAAGCAGCCCAGGGATTCATTTTTACATTGCCTACCTGTTGGACTAGCTCTGCAGACTCCTCTTCTCCGTTGCCCAAACCTGCAGGTTTCCTGGTGATCCCCTGGGCAGGCTTGTTGACGACTGCGGTCCTCTGGGCTGGTACGGCCCTCTGTGGAGCTGAAGAAGAAATGGAAGTGTTACATATAGAGTCACAGTGAGCAGAAATGGTGCCCCAAGAAAACAAAACCACCATAACCCAGAAATTGTGGTGAGCCACCTCTAAGAAAATGTGCACCCCTCTCCCTGACAAACAAGTACCAATCTTAGCAATTTTCCTTCCTTCTGCTCTTGGAAGCTTTGTATCAGCAGCGCCATCTGTAGAAAGTACAGTAGTCATTGATGAGAACTATAGACATTCTCGGCACAAACCTCTGTCGGAGTTGCATTTAAACCATAGTGTGCAGCTATTAAAAGCTCAAGAATAAAAGGAGATGAAGACCTTTCCTCAAACGGTTACATGAAAAGAAAACATGCAGCAAGTCACACTTCACACATCTCTACTTGCCTCTAAAAAGGGCCACCAAAAGTCCACCTCTTTCATATAGATTTACCCCAGCCACCTCCTCCCTATCCAAGTTCCTTGGTCACTGGGTGTTCAAGCTGAGATAGTGTTGTCACCCCCAACGTGACCAAGTGATTGGCTGCTCAGGTCCAAGCCCCGTCACATGCTCCCCCATAACCAGAAGCCCTATAGTATATAGTATAGGGCCGTGACAGCACTTGTAGAGGGAGTATGGCTATGAACAAACAATCTCAGCAATAACATTTTCTAGCACTGTTGGCTGCGTCATTTGCAGAGCTGCTGCTTATTGTAAAAAACATCTACGGGAAGAAAGTTTTAGTAACCTTTTAGTAAGTCCAGCACTGCAAGTGTTAACTGTTCGTTTTTGTCTAGGGACTGAAATAAAAGTGGTCACTGCGCTCCCCCTAGCCTCACTACTCCTATATGCTGCAGCAATGGTATGTCCCTTGGCGCCTTCGCGTCCAGTACAGTGTATTGGACATGATGACTCGAGGATCCTTAGATCACTGCGAGGCTGAAAGGAGTGGTCCAAGAGCAAGCCGGTTCTGAAGATCGGGTGAGTGTACCTTTATTAAAGTCCCTAGAAGAAAAGGAACAGTTAACTCTTGCAGTGCAGATGACAACGCTTTTTTCATCTGGTGACGAGGAAGCATGGAGACTGCTTCGCTGCTAATCAGGAAGCTGGGTGGAGAGTCATTACACACCGCCTGGTTTCCTTAATGGGACTTCCGGTATCGGTAAGTACCGGGGGGAAAAAAAAAAAAAAATCGGCACTCGATACCAAAAAAACACTATTGGTGCATTCCTATTCTATAGTACATATGATATCCCAAATTAAAGACAAGTATACATCTATGAGCAGCACTGGGAGCACCAACAGAAGAAGCACGGCATTAGCCCCCGGATGCATGAGCTCTGGCTGACAACGGGTTCAAGTCAACCACTAAAAGATATTTACTTTTCACTGCCGTCATACCTGAGTTCGTAGATCCAATGGGCTTCTTGGGTTTGTTCAGAACTGGAGTTGGGAGGGCTGGAGCGGGAGCAGACTCTTGACCTTGTCCTTGTCTGGCAGCAACTGGGTCATAGTCTTTCCCGTCGTAATTTGCATCAAAAAGCTTTTTAAACCACTGTACAAATTCAAAGTTGTCTTGAAACTTTCCTTTCACCAACTTGTCAACTGGAATTATCTAGGTGGGGGGAAAAAAAAATAAGAAACTTAAACGCACAAGTTCTAGGTTTCAGATTATATGTGTGGCACAGGAGAGGAGCCATCAGAAAACACCTTGTAACATTGTAGTATAAGCATCTCAGCCCATATACAAGTTATCGGAGCTTACCAGCCCTTAGATGTGGTGGCGGCATTAGTTTTCCTTGTCGCTTTTCACCTGGTAATCCTACCAGTAACACTTCCTGTCCTAGGGTGACAACACTGACTCCTTATGTAGAGGCGGTGGGTATAACTAAGGTGGAAGTGTTCTGTAGTCCATAGAAGTAAATTTGGCAGAGTGCAATAACAGTGCAGAGTGTATAGGGACTTGCTGCAGCACAGACTCTGGAGCAGTTGCCCATGGCAACCAGTCAGTTTCAAAGCTTAACTGAACAAGCCGACGATAGAAGTTGATTGGTTACTATGGGAAACTGCTCCACAATCTGGCTGCTCCAGTTTTAACGCATTGATCCGCCTTGGATTTCTAGAAGGATAAAAAGGCTTTATTGGTACTTGGATACAATGTCACTCAGCCTGGAAAACTAAAAGACAATACTATGAAAGCAGAGCATCATGAGCCCACCCCATTCGGGGGGACCTGTACATTGACATCAGACAAAGCAGAAAAGAAATAAAAGCTCCTCTCCATTGACTCTCCGTATATTCCATTTATTAATATCTTGGTATCCCGTTCACAGTCATCATCCCCAATCTACAGCTAGTTATCTCTAAGGCCCCATTCACACCGAGCGATTTATCGCGCGATATCGCTCCCATTTCCACGCGATATCGCTCTATGTAGCTTCTCCAATCTATTTCAATGGAGCTGTTCACATCTCGCCGCTCAATATCGCTTGTAGCTCCTACATGATTGCTCCTGATTGCATACAGCCCAATAGGAAAAAGTCGCTCAATATCGCAAGTCGCTCAATATCGCAAGTCGCTCAATATCGCAAGTCGCTCAATATCGCAAGTCGCTCAATATCGCAAGTCGCTCAATATCGCAAGTCGCTCAATAGGATAGGGGCCTTATGCGTTGCAATGATTAAGCCCAAACAGATGAAACGCAAAAGCGGCAGCTGGCTGTAGAATGGGGACGACAACTGTGACCGGGTAACCAAAGATCATAATAAATGGCTATATACAGTGGATCAATGGAGTGCAGATTTTTTTTCCCTGCTTTATATGAATTCACAGTGCAAATGCCTGCATCCTTGATGCTTCCAGCGAGTGGAACTCTCAGTGCTGACACTTCCATTTGAAGATTACTGTTGACATCAGGTTAGCACCGCTCACTGCATCTGGAAGGCCTCCAATCACCGAGAGAATTAAGAGGAATAGGACCCAGCACATGAATTAACCCAGATGTTTAGGGTGCCATGGAGAGTGATGCTCTTATGACATCAGCGCTGCTCCATGTATCATTAAAGAGTAATTCCACTTTCCCAGGTAAGGGGAAGGAGCCTTTGGTTAAAAGGCAAGAGCAGCGGGGAAGGGGGGGGCAGATTGATGGCGGTAATTCAACTTTCCAAAATTTGCCAAGGAAAGGAATTACCCTTTAAGGACCAGTACTGGGGGGCCTCCAAGGGAGCACTGGAGATGGGTGGGGCGAGCCCAGGAGTTGGTCTTTAAAAATATTTGTCATTCCTAGTCAAACCTGCTACACAGTCCCTATTAAAGAAGCTGTTCTCCAATTCACACCGCCACAGGCAGCATGAATAAACAATGAATCCACAGTTGACTAAAACGCCATTTACGCAACCATGGTACTCAAGCCCAAAAACAAAATCCTGAGTAGAAGCTTTTAACCGGTCTTTACTTGTCTCTGAAATACCTTTTGCAGTAATGACTTCCTGTTTACATAATCCGCACAATGACAGACAGTCAGGAAGCAGTGAATAGGAACTTGTCTCATGTAAAACATCACACTTACTTTGTCAATACCCATTTTCTTGAAGCCGGCTTGCAGAACTTTATAATTCTGGATGTACTCGTGTTCAAGCTTGGCTCCGAACTTCACTTTCTTTAACGTGACGGATCCAGGAAACAACATGTCCATGAACTGACAATACGCATTTCCTGCGGGACAAAAACAAAAAAAAATGATGAGTTGGCAGACAGGGCGAGGGGTACATACCGTAGTGTGCCAGTCAGAGAATTCCTGAAAAAGGAGACAATTTAGTAGCCTTGAATCACACATACTCCCTCATAATATGTCCTGAATGTAGCATACTGACAATTCTGTCTATTTGTGTATAGAACACAATGACTCAAGGTTCATACTCCATAATATGTCCCGAGTCTAAAATATGGACTGCATACCAACAAATCTGTATATTTGTGTATAGACTGATGATTCGAGGATCATACGGACTGCATACCCAAGTCTTAGTTTTAAAAGGCACAGTCCATAGAGCATAGATCATACTCCATGACACATACAACATGCACAAAAACACCACCATTCACCCCTTAGGCTGGGTTCACACCTGGGCGTACTATAGGCACGTTTTTTTGTTCAGTGAAACGCGTGTTCGACGCTTGTTTTTATACCTCCCTGGCGGTATGATTTCGTTTACCCTTTATTTTCTCTATCTTTTTTTTTTACTTTCAAACTTCCCGCCGGTTCCGCCCCCGGAGACACGGCCGGAGGACACAGCGGGGATCGTGGACAAGGTAAGACCAACGCTGTATTCCAGAGTGTGGCTCGGGGTTACCAATGGATACGAGCTGAAATACGCTCCAAAGAAGCTCCTGTAATTGTTTGGGCGTAGGGCGTTTTTTAGGGCGTGTCCACGCGCTGAAATACGCCCAGATGGGAACCATGCCCATAGGAAATTATGGGATTTCACTTGCTGAGCGTTTTTCAGAGCTTCGATCAGCGCTGAAAAACGCCCAGGTGTGAGCCCGGCCTTACAGAGCTTCCTGCTCCTTCATTCTTTTGTTCCATTGATCATGGCCGTGCATTGCTTTGCTAGCACAGCCCCATCATCTACTCAAAGCAACTGCTGAATGAAGATACCTCCGACCACCGTGGCAGTGGGATTTAGCAGAGTTCTCCGGCAGCAGTGTGATGACCCTCACCACACTTGAAGCTCATTCATTACTCAGGGGTGTGGAATTCCTATCGCCCGACGCCCGGGAAGCCTGCTTCATGCCAACGGGTGAGTACTGAAAGCAAAATATTGGTACTCGATACCCAAAAACTGGTACTGGTGCATCCCTAGTTTTAAACTTTTACAACTTTTTTTAGTTGTATTGGGACAAGTAGATTGTCATGAAGGACAACTAGATTTGACCCCCGCTTTAGCCCTTGGACAAGTAGTTTTTTCAAAAATTTCCACACCCCTGTTACTTCCCATAACAGATGGTCTGCCTTTCCGTATGGACATAGGGCTGCTGGGAAACAAAGCACTTGATTGCGGCTGCAATGCTCTATGCCATTAAAGGGATTTGGGGAAGCTGAATTACTTTCTTGCTTCTAGGATGGCCTTAAGTCTTCAACATGTCTAAATTATTGTAGACACTACTTGGTGACTAGGAACACGAGATCCAATGTGCACATGCTTTTCCTAGGAAAGTGACCAGGACAGAAAGAGAACTGTGACACCCCCCGAACCTGCATCTCAAAAAGTAATACAGCTATAGCAGCTACCATATTCCTGCCTTAACATTTAAAGCAGGGGTAGGCAAACTCACACCCTCCAGCTGCAGTGCAACTACAAATCCCATTAGGCATCGCAAGGCTGAAAGTCACAGGGATGACTCCCAGAGGCTGATGCATGATAGGATTTGTAGTTTCACCACAGCTGGAGTCCTGGAGTTGCATACCCCTTTAAAAGAGGCGTCACTTTGTACAATTAGGGCACAGTGACAATGCTTCCCCACAGCCCACCCCACCACCAAGGTATATTCACCCCTTCTCTGCTTCCTCTGCATCGCTGCTCAATCACCATAACAGAACAGGGCTACCTGGTAAAAGGAGCATGTGACTGGCCCCATGCAACAGTGCTGGGTCCTGAGCAGCCAATCAGGAGGCCTGAACATGCATGTGCGGTGGGGGCAGTGACATCATCCACCTGAGCGAGCTCCAATACCATTTTATACCAGAACGTAGAACTCAGTGGACTTCTGAACAAGGAGTACAGATGGGCAAGCATCCCTGAAACTATCAGCAGACACCGTCACCCGGTCCTGAATGAGTAAAGGGACAGGGTTCCTTTAATTGTCAAGTGCCCAGTGTCCCCCCACCAACAACTACTTGAAGGTTTCACCTTGACCAGTTTCACTTTTCATTTAAAATAACAGTAAACAGAAGCCAACAGAAGAGATTCTCTCTCCACCCACCAACATCCTTCCCTTGATGTAAAATTAGGCTTGAATATGCAAGGCCACCAAACCTCCTCAATCCCAGCCATAGAAATCATTTCATAAAGAGAAGGCTATCTGCTCTGGACACAGCTCCAATTCCATTTCTTCCACTTCCTTTATATTTAAAGTGGAATTCTGAGCAAAAATATCATTGACCCTTGCAGTGGGGCTACCCTGCACTGCAAGGGTTAACTGCTCATTTGAGTCTATACTCATTCGATCCTTGGATCTGACAGCGTTCCCTCCGGCATGTCTCCTCCTCTGCTGTCCCTCGGTGTCCTCAGATCCAATACACTTTATAGGCCGTGATGACTCGAGGATGCTTAGACCACTGCAGCGGAGGGGGAGAGAGGCTGAAGGAGCGGTGTAAAAGCAAGCCGGCTCTGAAGATCAGGTGGATAGACCTTTATTTTCAGCCCTAGACTCAAATGGGCAGTTAACCCTTACAATGTGGGGTAGCCCCAATGCAAGGGTTAATACGATTTTTGCCTGGAGTTCTGCATTAAATAGTTCACAACACGCTTCCAACCCAAACGGAGACACCTAAATTCCCAAATAGCTCGCATTGTCCTGTTTATTTTTGATTTTCACTCAGCCTCATCGTTTGAGCCGACCTGTGACAACGAAACAGTCACACGTCGGCTCAATAGATCGGGAAGTAAGGCTGGGTTCACACCTGGGCGTATAAAATATGCGCGATTCGCGGTAAAAGCCACGCGGCAAACGCACGTTTCCGAGGGCTACCTGGCTGTATCCCAATAGATACGCGCAACAAAAACGCCCCAAAGAAGCTCCTGTACTTTGGGCGTAGGGCGTTCTGTAGCGCGTTCATACGGCCTGTAATACGCCCAGATGTGAACCATACCCATAGGAAATAATGGGATTTCGGTGTTTGAGCGCTTTGCAGAGCGTAGGAACGCGCTACAAAACGCCCAGGTGTGAACCGGGCCTAAGCGAACACATACCGTCGCTCACTCACTTCTCGATCATGTCCCTGCAGAGAGCTGTGACTGTCACTCACAGCTCCCTGCAGGGATTCCCCCCCTCCCCGCTCCAATCCTCCAGTGCTGACTGGCAGGACGGACGGGCGAGTACAGCTGACTCTGCCTCTAGGTAGGTAGAGCCAGCTGTCAATCACGCAGCTGGGTGGATCTTAACAGTAATGTCGGGATCCGCCCCGGCTGCGCCGGTCGCAGTATACTGAGATTTGGGTGACGGGAGGACGCTAGTTTATGTCCTCCTGTGACCCTTAGGAGAACTATGGGGGGAAAAAAAAAAACTTACCCCATAGTTCCCCTTTAACGTTCCTTTGCAGGACTAGCATATGAACAAACCATTGGGTACAAACTGAATTGTTCAATGATAACGGCTTTACATGCTGGTCATTTTCTATCTGCGGTCTTGTCAGGAAAATAATATCTTTAGGCAAAAACCACTTCATTCATTTTCATGCTGAGATGACGAAACCTTAGGAAGGAATCCATGTGACCCAGTACTAAAGCGCAAACTATAGTGACTGTGACCGGTCGTCTCATCTGACCAGTTATATAGCATTCTCACATTTTTTTGGACGACAAAGCAAGTATTGTTTCTACAACAGGACAATGAATGAAGAGTGACCAAGCAACAATGCCGAAGACAAATAAGAGGAAGCTGCAAACAACTGCAATTTAAATGTCCATGTAAAAAAAAAAAAAGAGGCAAACAAATCCCGTTCCCTATAGAGGTGGTGGGGGAGGGGGGTTTAGGCTAAGCTCTGCAAAAAAAGGAGAGAAAACACACTGAAGGGAATGCAGACAAAATCTGGCACAGCTGTGCATAGTAACCAATCAGCATCTCCTCCATTTTTAAATCTTAGGCCCCATTCACACTGAGCGATTTACTGCGCGGTAATCCGCGGATATTTACCGCGCAATATCGCTCTCCAATGCATGGCAATGGGGCTCTGTTCGTCGCTGTTGCGGGTCGTGCGTCGCTACAGCAGAGCCCTTTTTGGAGCGGATTTCGGCGCGATTCTAGTTTGTTCAATGCAACCATTTGCGCGATATCGCGCAAAATGCAAATCACGCGATTTGCGATACGCTCAGTGTGAATGGGGCCTTAAGTTGCCCATACACTTGCCGATTATCGTACGATAATCGCAGGTGATCCCGCGATCGTACGATAATCGGCAGGTGTATGGAAGGTGTGCGACCATTTCTACCATACGGTCGCACGTCTTTTGTCTCCTGAGCAGGCTTGAAAACCAGCCGAGAATCGTACGATTGTCGGCGGGTTAGTGGCGTTCTCGGGCACAAATGCCACAAGCACACACACTACGTCAAAGATGGGCAGATCGTACGAGCTTTTAATTACCTTACAACCATTGCACGCTGAAAGTCGTGCGATGGTTGTAAGGTGTATGGCCAGCTTTAACTGAACAAACTGAAGAGAGAAGCTGATTGGTTGCCGTGCACAGCTGCTTCAGATTTTGTCTGCTCCAGTTCTGATAAATTCCCCCCATTGTGCATAGACTTATGGGTGTGAAAGGGCCCTAAAGGTTGCACACAGGGTAGTATGGGCTCCCAATTATGGAAAGAGGGGCTGACAAGGGAAACCGCCATGTAACAGCTCATAAGGCCAATCAGGATTGGCATTATATAACGGAGAGGCTTCAGTTACTGCTACAAGCCCACTCAGACTGGTCCCTGGAGACTCCCTCTCCTTCCGATCTAAGGATCTTCAAGCAATCACATTCTATACACAGTGTATAGAACGTGAGGGTGCTGAGGGACAGGCAGGAAGGAGCACTGCGAGAGCAGCCGGCTCGGAGGTTCGGGTGAGTAGAACTTTGTTACTTTTGACCCTTGGCAAAAATGAGCAGTTAACCCTTACAGAGCGGAGGCAGCTCCTACTGCAAGGGTTAATAAGATTTTAACCCAGAGTTTAGAAATTGGCACCCAAAATGCAATATTACGTCCTCTTCCTCCCCCCTGTAGTTTGCATTTACAATACTTTTTTTTGCATGTGTTCCGTGTAGTAAGAGTTCTCGTGTCTGTTACCTGAACAGAGTTGCTCTATCTTGGTCAGGTTGAGTTGCAGAGATTCGTTGATCCATGCCAGCATATCATGACGACTCAGATTGTCACTTGTCACTGATGTGGAATAAACATTAACAGCCATTTTGTCTGGAAGAAAAAATAAAAATAAAATAAAAAGATGGAAATTAAACAGTTGTATCACATACCAACCCAACGTAGTCCCTTCCGTATTACTGCGATGGTGAGACCACAACAAGAACGCATGCACAGACATGTACAAATATTAGGTGCTGCCAGGAATTTCTACTTTATTGCAGAAATTAAAATGCCGCAGGATTGATTTAAGGCAGCACGGAATGCATATGGCAATAATCTTTTAACATTAAAAAGGTAGCCATACAAGGCTCGTATTCTCCTTTAGCATGGATGGTGCAATCCATTCTCCCATCCACGCTAGCAGCGCCCATGGAGGGATCTCCCCTGCCGTCGATAGATGGATGTGGCACCTGCGGGTGGTACTTGCACAGTCACCTGTGCCATGCATTTTGTCTGATTCAGCAGGGACCGGCTAAAATGTGTGTATGCAACACGTGCAAAAACAGGTTCTGGCAGCAAAAGGTTTAAGGACACATTAATGAACACAGAGCAGAAGAGAGATGTGCCGTTAGATCTGCCTTAGGTGCTTGGAAGTTTGCATCCTATTTATAGACCTCAACCTGCGACCGTCCTAACGGAATCTGTGACAGTGAGGCTGAATGAGGTTTGGTTGCTGTAGGGTATTGTACCCTGGTTCAATAAAGCACTCTCAGCACAAAGTTTACAATGGTTTCCATGAGAACTGTTTGAATTGCCAACGACATGTAAACAGGACCATCCTCCCCCAAACAAATCCATTTACATCATGCCCCCAAGGACACTTATATGGGGACAGAGTAAAACAAATTCCTCTCTGCTGATCGCATTGGGCGCTCGCATGGGATTTTGGATGTTGCGTATTTGCCGTCAACACTGGGCGGGGTTTTGATCAGCAACAAATTTTTCAACCCAGTATATTATTCTTCATTGCAAACCGCAGGTAAACATGATGGGAAAAGTCACCATTTGCGCATCAGGTAAAGCAAATGATAAATCCAGCACACTGCCTACAGCAGGGTTAGGATATCTGGCCCTCTAGCTGTTGTGGAACTACAATTCACATGAGGCATGACTCCCAGGGACAGAAGGATTACGAGATTTGTAGTTTCAACACAGGTGGAGTGTTGCGGTAGCCTTCCCCTGCTGTATGCTGGATTCCTCACTTGCTTTCCCATCAGTCACCCCGACCCCTGAACAGCATTCAAATCCAATCTGTAAAGGGTGAAATGATGGGTGGGGCCACCACGACTGAGTCCCTAGGGTTAGGACTGAACCAAGATGTCTGCAGCACACTGTTTTCAGATAAGACACATTCAATGTTTTGAGGCTGCCTGAGGAAGAGGTCCCTACGGCCTAGAAACGTTGCCTTCTCTTGGTGACAACAAGGTGTCCCGTCTTCTCTCATATGAACATGGTGTGCTGCAGACATCTTGGTTCGCTAAGGAAGCTGAATGCACACGAATGTACCTGGACTGCTGAAGCCAAGGCAGCGACATTGTCCTCCACATTCGCACCACTTAGACAATAATTCAGCTAAGCCTCCAATTGTACCCCCCCTCAAATCCTGAGTGGAGTTGTAAAATAACAAAGGTTTATTGGATCCCATACAAGTTACCACCTGCCCTTCAAAAGGGTTCCCATACAATCCCATCTACAAAAGAGGATGCAGAGGATCCCCTGAACACTGCAGAACAGATTTCATATATGGACTTTCTTTTATTCTTTGTGTCGTGTTCACTTTGGATGAGGAAAGGATGATCGGAACCCCCCCATCGGGATTTTATTGTTACCTCAAACAAAACTAGGGAGATTTTCCTTCAATTCCTGCCATGGTGACTGGGACACCGCGACAGGAAATGGTGAATTGTAGGACAAAGCAAAAAAAAAAAAAAGACCCCTAAATACCCTTTATTCTTCCCTAAAGCTGCGGTCATGTGACACTCCAGTACCAGGCCTTCCTTCCTCTTCTGTTTACTTCCAGCGTGGTCCTTATTCAGGTATCCGTGTCACTAGCTGCGTGATGTGGACACCCGAGTAAGGACCACGCTAGAAGTAAACAGAAGAGGGAAGGCCGGGCACTGGACTGTCACATGACTTCCTGTTAATTTTCCAGTGGCGGGGTCCTCACACGATCCAGAAGAGGATTTCTATAGCAATGTACAAAAGGAAGGCTGGTTTTTTTTCTCCATTGGGAAGAAGTGACATGAGTGCCGAGGCACTCCTGGTGAACGGTGGCCTATGGCGTATCTGGGTAAGCAGTCTCCTGCATCCGGAAATGGCAACGGTTTTGACTGCTAGTGACAGGAGGGAATGCCGCTGTGGACCGCCGCCGGAGCAGCTGTAGGAGACCCGGAGGCTGCTGCATTGCAGGCAAGTGGGGGAAAAAAGACCACACAGGGAAAATTCTGAAGCAGAGGTCTTGCACTAGGGGGACTCCCCTGAGTCCACAACACCAAAGGGCTAGTTGCCATGCATACTCTTTGCAGGAAAACTATAGGCATTTTAAACATTGTTTTGGACACTTGGGGCTGTCCTGGAAACCCCCCCGTCATGGGTACCCCAGGTCCACTGACCCTCCTGCTGTACTCCATGCCGGGGGAAGCCCCTTCTCACTAGCACAAAGGCCTAGGAAAAATAACAAACGTTACGATGTCCTGCTCGGCCGGAGGAAACACAAAATAACTAAGTGTGCTAGGCTGGTACTCTTTATTTTAGGTGTGGGTGGTGCGTTTCCTGTTTCTGGTGGGAGGAGCCTATCTCTCTGATGCTGTCCTGGAAGGTGACTAGAGAAAAAAAAAGCTTTAAAGATTTGGGTTCAAAAAGGGGGCGAGTCATGTTTAGTCCAAAGCAAGGCTTTAAAAAGGAGAACTATGAGGCAAGTGATTTTCACTCAACGTCATAGTTTGAGCCGACGTGTGACAATGAGACTGTCACAGGTCGGCTCAGTAGATCGGGAAGTGAGCGAACACATACCATCGCTCGCTCACTTCTCGATCCTGTCCTGCATCGTGCCGTGACCGTCACTCACGGCTCCCTGCAGGGATTGCCCGTTCGATCCTCCAGCGCTGACTGGAGAACGGATGGGGGAGGGGGCGGGTACAGCTGGTTCTGCCTCTAGATAGGCAGAGCCAGCTGTCAATCATGCAGCTGGGTGGATCTCGACAATAATGTCGGGACCCATCCCGGCTGCGGCGGTCTCAGTATAACCTGAGCTGTAGCTCGCGGTATACTGAGCTTTGGGTCACGGGAGGACGCTAGTTTGTGTCCTCCTGTGACCCTTAGGAGAACTATGGGGAAAAACACTGACCCCATAGTTCTCCTTTAACCCCTTCGTGACTGACGACGTACAGTGTACAATACGCAGTAACACGTTTCAGTGCAACACACCAACAGTGGTATGTGTGCATTGAGGTGCCGTGCATTTTAAATGGTGACCCAAAACAGCTTACCAAACTCTTACCTAAAATTAAATTGCCATGCGTTGACCGCGTATTTCATCTGACTGAGTTACATAGTTACATAGTATTTGAGGTTGAATAAAGACATATATCCATCAAGTCCAACCTATTTGTGTATGTGTGTATGGTCCTATTGGTGTGTAGTGTGTATAGGTCCATGTGTGTTCTCAATCTTAAAGAGTACTTGTACCCCTGTATATTACGGAGTTGCCTTAGCGCAAGTTAGCGGACTTAAAGGGGGTTTTACGAAATATCGTTAGTAATTATCTGGTACTTCCTGCCTCTGAAGTAGCTCTACCCCCACAGCTGCGTCATCCGTTCACAGAATCTGTGAATATTGACACTACAAGTCCCATCAGTCACCACGGCCGAAGGAACTCTCAATGAAATACAAGTGCTGAGACATCACAGTACTTGCAGCTAGGGATGCACCAATAAAGGTTTTTCAGTATCTGGAAGTCCCATTGAGGGAGCCAGGCGTCGTGTAATGGCTCGCCACCCGGCTTCCTGATTAGCAGGGAAGCCGTCTTCATGCCCACTCGTCACCAGGTGACAAGGGAGCATGGAGTCAGCTTCCCAAGCAATCAGGAAGCCGGGGGGGATCATTATCAGCCCCCCGACTTCCTGATTGGCCGGGAAGCCAGCCCCATGCTGACGATGTAATGACTCGCTGCCCAGGTTCCTAATACCAGAAGTTCCGGCATCGGGAGAATTTGGGCGAGTACGAGTATTTGCCCAAATACTTGGTACTGGTGCATCCCTACTTGTAGCCCATTGACACTTCCTCCCGTTCATGTATCTGAATGTCTGTCAGAACATCAGCAGGAGGAACAGTCTGCAGGAGCCAGAGTATTGCACCCACCATCTACTTATCATGGGCGCAATGCTTTACTGGCTTCCTAGGAATAAAAATAATACATGCAAATGTTTTCTCTTAGGAAGAAGTTTGCATTTATTACTATATTTGCAAAAGGTGCAATTACCCTTTAACTCGTCCTCATCATCCCTTGACTGAAAATATCAGCTCTGAGGCCAGAGAAGTCCATTAAAGAGAACCTGTCACAGTGCCCGAGGATCACATCTTACCACTGCCTGACTCTTGGGAGCCAGCACGAGGCCTACGGCAGGTACATCTCTGAGCAGAACACTCTGCCCTGCCAGGGCACATTGGCATGGTGTCAGCTGACCGAGATGAGAGGTGAAGGAGATCAAAGCGATTGGTTATTTCCTATGTACATATAACAGGTGCCGGACGGGTGCAGATAAAGCTGTAGAGGTGGTGACAGATCACTTTACAGTCTGCAACTCTGATCAATGAAAAGGGAAGATGGAGGAAAGTCTGAGATGCAGAAGGGACCGGAGACCCAAAGCAGGAAGACAGAGAGCATGTATGAAAGAGGACAGGGATGTACATGACGTGTGAGAAAGGGAAGGGGGCCAAATGAGGAGAGGAGACTAGAAGGATGAAAGCAGGACAGAGCAGAGTGACAGATGACAGGTAACATGGGCACAGTCCTACGTAGACTGGGTGACAGGCATGAATGGTCTCCGGGGAGAGCAGGGCATAGGCACAGGGGGCATGGCCTTAGAACAAATGACAGATGACAAGCACACTGCCAGACTCGCTAGTGCAAAGTAACAGATGACAACCACTAAGGCACACTGCTACCAGGACTGGGTGTAGGGATGCAAAGTGACAGATGACAGGCACACTGCTTCCCAGGAATGGGTGTAGGGATGCAAAGGGACAGATGACAGGCACAAAGGGTCTCAAGGAGGCAGGTCATAAGCACAAAGGTTGTGGACAGAATATAGACCAGAATTTCTTTAAAGACTGGGGATAAGGGGTGCAGAGCGACAGATGACAGTACAAAGAGTCTTGGTAAGACAGAAAAGGCACAATGGATCCAGACTGATAAATGACAACAATGGGAATATTTATATATACAAATGGTTTACAGGGTGGAGAGTGACAGATGATAGACATCTCTATATAGACTGGGTAGATAGGGCGCAGAGTGACAGATTTAAGACATTTCTATACAGACTGGGTATATGGGGTGCAGGGTGACAGACATATCTATACAGACTGGGTATACAGGGGTGCAGACATCTCTATACAGACTGGGTATATAGGGGTGCAGAGTGACAGACATCTCTCTATAGACTGGGTAGATGGGGTGCAGAGTGACAGACCTCTATAGACTGGGTAGATGGGGTGCAGGGTGACAGATGAAAGACATCTCTATACAGACTGGGTATATGGGGAGCAGACATCTCTATACAGACTGGGTATATGGGGGTGCAGACATCTCTATACAGACTGGGTATATAGGGGTGCAGAGTGACAGACATCTCTCTATAGACTGGGTAGATGGGGTGCAGAGTGACAGACCTCTATAGACTGGGTAGATGGGGTGCAGGGTGACAGATGAAAGACATCTCTATACAGACTGGGTATATGGGGAGCAGACATCTCTATACAGACTGGGTATATGGGGGTGCAGACATCTCTATACAGACTGGGTATATAGGGGTGCAGAGTGACAGACATCTCTCTATAGACTGGGTAGATGGGGTGCAGAGTGACAGACCTCTATAGACTGGGTAGATGGGGTGCAGGGTGACAGATGAAAGACATCTCTATACAGACTGGGTATATGGGGAGCAGACATCTCTATACAGACTGGGTATATGGGGGTGCAGACATCTCTATACAGACTGGGTATATAGGGGTGCAGAGTGACAGACATCTCTCTATAGACTGGGTAGATGGGGTGCAGAGTGACAGACCTCTATAGACTGGGTAGATGGGGTGCAGGGTGACAGATGAAAGACATCTCTATACAGACTGGGTATATGGGGAGCAGACATCTCTATACAGACTGGGTATATGGGGGTGCAGACATCTCTATACAGACTGGGTATATAGGGGTGCAGAGTGACAGACATCTCTCTATAGACTGGGTAGATGGGGTGCAGAGTGACAGACCTCTATAGACTGGGTAGATGGGGTGCAGGGTGACAGATGAAAGACATCTCTATACAGACTGGGTATATGGGGAGCAGACATCTCTATACAGACTGGGTATATGGGGGTGCAGAGTGAAACATCTCTCTCTATACAGACTGGGTATATGGGGGTGCAGAGTGACACATCTCTCTATAGACTGGGTATATGGGGTGCAGAGTGACGGAGGACAAACATCTCTATATAGACAAGGTATATGGGGGTGCAGTCACAAATGACACCCTGATTCTGTGGGGTGCAGGTGGGGCGTGTGCTGACAAATGACGGCCATAACGGGCACAGGATGTCTGATAAATGGCAAGGCCACAGTGCGTCAGGCGGTTGAAGAAAGGGGGGCAGGGCCCATACCGGCTGCGGTGTATACCGAGGTAAAACACAGCATCAGGCAAAAGAAATTAAAGACACAGAGCTAAGGGCGGCGGGCGGCGGGCGGCGGGCGGCGGGCGGCGTCCGGCACAGGCACCGTTAACCGTCTCCCACACACCGTTTCCCACAAACCCTCCCTCGGCTCCCTACGCGCGTCCTCACCCGCTCCAGCCGTTACCTTCTCTCCCTCGTTCAAGCCGGCCTCACCCGTGCTGATGTCACGCGCCTGAAGAAGAACGTGCCGTGCGCCGTGACGTCACCTCATGAATCATTCACGGATCGCGCTGTTGCTAGGTGACGCTTTGTCTGCCAGAGCTCGGTACCCCGCCCAGCTGCCACGTGACCCCCATCGCCCTCGCTCAGAAGTCTCCAGCGCCATTTTTCGTGAGGCGAAAGACACGGTGCCTTACGCCTGCCCTGTCTACAGGAAAACGGAGGGCGCCTTAGAGAACCACGCCGCGTACCGAGGACAAGTTGCAAACGCGACGCTTGTTGCTCGGTAGGGTGAGGGGGAGGGTGGATGTGACGGTTGACATGCAGACACTACCGCAATGAGCAGCTGGTGGGCGGGGAGCCGGGTACTGCAGAGCCATGCCTGCTCCCTGTCATACTGCAGCAGCGCTGTAATTCCTGGAGACCGCCGCCAGGGGAGCCAG